TTATATATAATATAATATATATATATATATTATTATATATATTATTATATTATTATAATATATATATAGATACATTATTATAATATTTATAAAATCGAACAGAAGAGACTACGGTATCCTGAGAAAGGAACAAGGGTAATTCGTTTTCAAGAAGCTGCTCAAAACTCCCAAGCAGAGGCTTTTCCCCGGCAGCTTAAAATTGAAAAATTCAAGAAAGGAGAATAGCGAGCCACACATTGTACACGTATGTTTGAATAAGGAAGAACGGCGTAGAACATGAAAAATTGCCGATGAACGGGAGAGCATGGATTTTCGAAGGAAGATACACAGATTTTCGCCGGGTGTCCAGGAAACTAGGTTGATTTAGATTGGATTCGAAGTTTTCTGTTCTCTTTGCACCCTCGGTGGCCTTGCGCACATACTCGACCGCGTTCACGCCCACACATTGCAATTTTACGACGGTGTCATCGGACATTTACTGTGCGTCGGTGTTCATGGCATTATCGAGTTCTCGAAAATTTGCTGAACTTCTTTTTGGCAATTAAAGAGCTTTACAGCTGAAAGTATTTTGGAAAGAATTTTTGGTAAGATCGCACGATATTTTGTAATTGTAATATAGCGGTAAAACAATTGAAACACGGTAATAGTAATTGATTTGTAGTCTGCATTCTGTGCTGAAGGTTAGGGCTTTCGATTTTCTAAGATTTTTTTGAGCAATTAGCAAATTTGTTTTTACAATATGGAATCTTGATGTTGGGCGAATGTACATACAGTTAGCGACAAAAGTGAAAAAGAACATGTTACACAGATGCATATTCTTGGGTATAGTAAACCTTAACATAGGATGAAATTTGTATTGTGTCAGCGAAAATATTAATTTTATTTTCTTGTAATTTTTCAATCTTATGTTTTTATTTTATTTTTATTTCATTTTTGTATTTTTTTTATTTGTAGTATATACTAAATAAAACAGTATTGCAATATAAACAATGTGTTGTATGCTTCACTATGATATGTACATTTAATTTAATTAAAACCTGTAGGGTAGCGTGGAGTGACCAATTGCTGTGCCTTTGTCTTGTTTTTGGGTATAATTAATTTTACATTTATCGAATAAGATCTATTAAATTTTTTTATTCTATTATCCTGTTTATTTTTCTATTGGTCACCTCACTTTATTTTGTTGTTAATTTATATAAACAATTTCATTACCTTTTTGTTAGTGGAACATCGGTTATTCAAACCTCTCATATCTCAATTTATTATTATCCAAAAAATGTGTTAATTATTATTTAAAGGAATCGATTTAAGGCCATCTATATATGTCACATTATTTGTTGCAAACTGAATAAGGATATAATCCAGCACCATAACTAAGTAATTGTTCTACTATCCGAATATTTATACTCTTCTTTTTAATTAGGTAATTCAGGATAGTCGAGGTTACAGCATATTTGATTATTCCCTAATTCTTAATTTATGTGAAAAAGCATCTTTTTTACATACAGTGAATGTAGAAAGTATTCATTCCTTTTTTAAAACGGAATAACCTTTTTATTATTATGCCAAGCAGTCTAAATTTTGTTGAGATCTTAGAAGGATTAGTTTACTAGACAATGGCTAAAAAATTGCATGAAAAAATTGCAATTGGTTGGCATGGTAAAAGAATCAAAAAATACTGTTTTTTTAACTCTTTTATGCGAGCCCATAACGAAAATTTATAAAATACATTTTGTAGATCTCGGTAACTTATATGCACACTGAAAATTTCATCGAAATCGGTTGACACATAGTCAACTGTTTTTGGTTGAAATTCGTCAAAAACTGCGATTTTTGTGATCTTTAATAGCTTACAGATAAAAAAGTTGAAAAAGAACATCGTTTTTTAATTCTTTCATCATGCCAACAAATTGCAATTTTTCAAAATAATTGTCTGGTAAACTCGACATCAGTCACTCGACATAAAAAAAAAATTGTATACCATTTGGCTCAATCATAAAAATATTATTCCGTTTTAAAAGGTGTGCGAATACTTTTTACACCTACTATATATTTATTATTATTTATTTTTGTTGTTATTTTATTGTATTGTATTACACCTACTATATATATCCTGAATTCTCATTGTACTTAATAGACGAAAACGGAATGAATTTTAGTGACAGCGCAATATCTGTCACAAAACCAGACTTCTACGCAAACTCTTATAAGATGATCCCACTGTTCCAAATTCCGTGGACATTTCTATCGCCCCCTTTAAGCGGGGAAACCCATGGCGAAATACCTTCAATTTATTTGGGGAAGAACGTGATGAAAGCTTTTCTTTCTCAGCGATCCATAATTCGGCGGAGACAACGAGTCAGCGAACACTGGGCCAGGAACCAGCTTTCTGTGGCCATAATAATTTTAACGTTATTTCATGACCGAAGATTATAGTATACGGGGGTTTCTATTTATGTATCCAGAATAATTGACGTTGGTATTGCTAGGCGCCATCTGACATATCATAAAGTTTGACTTTTTATGACGGTATAGTACTCAGAACGTTTTGTCATACGGACCCAATTTGTGTTATTTAACGTGACTTGAAATTTTCATCACAGTGAAATAATGGAATTAACTCGTGAAAATTTTTGCGCGATGATTCACTACGACTTTCGACGTGGATTATCGCAACAACGGTGCATCGATCAACTCACTTCGACTTTTGGCGATGAAGTACCATTTAAAAGCACTGTAGTTCACTGGTTTAGCGAATTCAATCGTGGTCATCGTTCGCTCACGGATGAATTTAAAGAAGGTCGTCCAAAATCGGCTGCTGTGCCAGAGAACATCGATGCTGTGTTCGGACTGATAATGCAAGATCGTCGTGTGACATACCATGAGATTGAGGCATCCCTAGCCATTAGTATGACAAGCATACGTAAGATATTACATGAACATTTAACCGAGAAATAAGAAAAAACACCAGCGTCGCAAGGTTATTTTTCGCGATGACAATGCGAGTTCTCACATATCGGCCAAAACAACTCGATATTTAACCGGTCAAAACATCGAATTGATGGATCATCCGCCTTACAGCTCTGATTTGGCACCTAATGATCTCTTTTTGCTCTCGTCCGTGAAGAATAAAGTACGTGGTGAAAGATTTTTGACGCCAGAAGAAGCGGTCGATGCGTTCAAACTGCACGTTTCGGAGGTATTGGAATGGAAAAAGTGCTATGAAAACTGGTTCAAACGTATGCAAAAGTGTACTGATCAACGCGAAGATTACTTTGGAAAACAATAAAATCATTTTCAATGATAAATATTTGTATTTGTTCGTTTTTCTGGATACATAATTAGCAATCCTCGTAGCAGGTCGTTGACTTCGACTCGAAGTCAAGTATGACATTACGAAGTCAAGGATATATAGAGTGTTCACTTTATTTTGAGCACTCGTAATATCTCTGTTATTAATTAATCTAACTCGATTTTCGACGAAAAAATTTTTCGGTGAAGAATTGCATGATTTTTCATTGGATGAACATAAATATAAGACATTTTTTCAAGGTAATCGTCAAATTTTCTAACGCGACTTAATTTACGACTAAATACGTTTCTTTCGTGAGCTAAAATATTGCATTAACGAAAATATATCGTCTAATTTGAAAGAACAACAATGACCTTAAAAAAAACGTTGTCCTACATTTATATTAGTCCCATGAAATCGTGCAATTTTTTATTTTTAAAGACCTCGAATTTTTCATACAACAAAATTTTTGAAATTAAAAGTTGGCCAAATTGAACTGAAAACTTTATATAATTCTTTAAAACAAATGTGTAAGTTTCTTTCATTAAAAAAACCGAAATATATTGCTTAGAAGCATTTTTTAAAGATGTTTTGTATAGTTTAAATTATCCTAAACATTGTAATATTTATATATTAGTTACAAAATGTTTTCGATACAGTTAAAATAAACTATTAGTCTGCAAAACTGTTATTTGATGATTCATAATAAATAGTTAGGAACAGTTTACTTCGAGTTCCAGAATTTCGACTTTAGTATATTGTACGGGATAACATAATCATCTGGCAACTATAGACATATAAAGCAAAAGTTATGTCATATTTAGAAGAAGCCAAGTTGTTTAACGAAATTCGACATATAATAACATAACGAAAAAGGACTAAGAAAATAATGTCGAAGCCATAGTGCTTAGTACATATAATTTCATGTAAAAACGATTGTATACATATATTACATCTACATGTAACCCTACAATTGTAATCCCACAAGTGGCTGTTAATTGTTATTAAGCAGATGCGACGTTAAATAAACAAATAAAAATAATCGTAAGAAAAAAAGATAAAGAAAATAAAATAATCGTCTGAAATGAATAATATTTTGGATTTCATATTTGAGCCGTTTATTTTGAAAGTGGCATAAGTCACTTTTTCAAAAAAATCGAGTTAATGGTAACACTAATTACAATTGAACGGTATCTTTTCATTTTAAAAAAATTTGCAATCAATAAGTTGAGAACTATCGAGATTTGTTGGACAGAAGTTTTGCTAATTAACGGTATAACAAACATGTTTATTTTGAAAGTGGCGTAAGTCGCTGTACTCAGGGAATTAATTGCGGGGCTTAGTGTAAAAGAAATAGAAACGTGTGATAAGTGTGTGTGAAGTATTGTTTTGAATTATTTTCAGTATTTTTAAAAAAGTTGTGATCACTGGACTTATTTTTATAAGTGCGAAAGAATAGTGCAGTTTTGTAAATTATATTATAGTGATGTGGCGGCTACCTCCAGACCCGCCAGCAGATGGCTATAAAATGTTTTATAAACTAACTTTAGATGAAAAAGATGAATTTCTAACTTTGGATTTGTCACCAAAAAGAGGAAGACCTAGGCGTTATTCACAAATAGAAATGGATCCGTTATACGCTGGATCTCGTCCTGTTTCTTCA